TGATAGCGGCAACACCTCAATACACAAAGGTCCATTATATTTGCTTAATCGCATTCTTTAAAGGTACTCTTAGCCTTTTCGTTATTTCCCCACACTAACAATCCTCCATCTTCTCTTCATTTTCTTCTCTTAATTGTTGACCTTAGCCATTTTGTCATAAAGTTTTTTCGATGGCTACTTGTTTCATTTTCAAGTACCACCATTCTGTAAACACAAAATAACAAGTGGGAAGTTTTTTTTTTTATATTCTAATTTTTTCTCCTTTCTATTCATATTTTATTTCAAAAAATAAACGAATAAAGTGCAAATTCGAAAAAATTTCCGTCCATTTCATTATTGTTTTCAAAATGTCATATTTAATATCAACTGCACATGTGTATATTTTGTTTAAATTATACATTTTATATTTGAATTTTAGATGATATATTTTTTTTATCCTTGGGGAAAAGTGTTTAAAATGTTCAATAATTTCGAAAAATTTTACTACTTTCACGAGAAAATATTTCACTTTGCATGATGAGTAAATTTAGTATTTCAAAATAATAATTTTAAGCTAAGTAATTACCAGTCTGATGTTCACATTTCTCGAATATGATTAGGTATTTTAATTTATCACTCAAATAATACTGATGATAAAATAAAAGTAGGAGAAGAAAAACTGAAACATTTCATCTTTCTGGTTGAATTCAATTTGATCCACATATTTTCCTGTTATCAATGATTTACCTTTTCCTACATTTTCACTTTTTGAATTATCTTAGGTAACCTTTTTGACTGATAATTGCACGCTAATAATTTGAAATCATAATTACTACTTTGTTACTATTTATCCATTTATTTGTTAGTAATAATCAATTTCATCTTTTGCATATATCATCTGATATGATAAAAATTGGCCGGGAAGGATGAAATTGTGCAGGATAGAAGAAAAATGGAATTGAATTGCTGTGCAATTGAGTGACAGCGATAGCAGTCAGCTATGAGACGAAAGAGAAAAAAGTTCGGACAATAAATCAACTTTGTGTGAAAATTTTCATTTTAATGAATATGAATGATTAATTAATTCTATTGAATTTCTTGTTTTGTGAGACTGAAATATTAAAAGCTTTTAATACTTTTTTTTGAAATATCCATGACATAAACTTTATGATTAGAACAATTTAGAAGTCAGTTACTCGAAAAAGGAAAATAGACAGAAAAAAGTTAATTTGTATTACTTTTATTCAAAAATTTTTCAGACTTATATCTATCATGCATCCATCATAGTCATATTTAAGAATTTGTTATTATCGTTTCATCACATCCAAGACAATTTTTAATAAATATAAGATCTATAACTCAGGCCTAAACTCTAATTTTTAGATTTCTCATTTTAGATTATAAGAATTCAGATCTAACTTTTGATTATAAAATTCAATTTTTATAAATTAAATTTTCTTTAAATCGAATTAATTTAACTAATATCCAATGATTGATACAGTTATGTCGTCATTGATTATTGTTATCTTTTCACTTATTTGAATATTCCGATTATTACATACTGAGCAGTTTCTCCAAATGAATGTCAATAATTTTAGCAAAAAAAAATTTGAATGAAAATTATTTAAATATGTTTGTAAATGAATGGAAATTAATTTGCATGTTTTACAGTTAAATGATGAAAATTTCACTGATAATTACATTATTGTTATCACTGTCAACCGTTTGCACAATATTGGACACTTCACGAGCCATATTTTGGTTGACTAGTAAATTGGAAAATATCGAATGGCGAAAAGGTTGCTTAACAACAGCTGGCTGTGCACAGCCACGATTTCAACTAGCACTTTTAAATGTTATCACTAATGAAAAATTATCGAAAAGCTGGCTTATTACACCAAAACTTATGCAGGTTAGAAACTGTTGAATGGTCTTTCTCTTAACTATTTAATAATTAATTTGAGGGAAATTTAAGATAACTGCATTCATTAGTGGAATTGAAACTGAACTGTATTTATTTTTGAGAAGAATAATGTAAAGAAGTATCATGATAGAGAATAAGTATTAAATATTAAGATTGTCAGAACTTCAAATATGGAAGTTATTTTTGAAATTATAAAATTTAAGAAGCTTCTTCAAATTTGGTGCCAAAATCAAAAAGTTTCGAAATTCAAATCCATCTAAATTAATTCAGTAAATTATAAAATTTTCGAAGTTAATATTTTCATTTCTTAGAAATGTCTTCGTTCTGAATCAAAGGTCAATACATCATTAAAATAATTTTTGAAAATAAATGAAATATCAATAAATGGCATCTATGACGTGTGCGACACACACATTCTGCGAATTAAAGGGCGAAGTAATTAGTTTGCGACGCAATCGGGTCGTATCTTTGATGATTGCATGTTGACCCTTAACAGTTGACCGTATGTTTTTTGACGAATATCCGTTCAACATTGAAAATGTTTCATTTCAGACAATAATTATTATTAACTTTATAGAGTAGAGTTTTTTACTGTGTCTAACTTCATCTGAAAAACATCTGCACTTTGATATAAAACCGGTATGGAAAGGTTAAATACAGGTCATTTTACAATCGATATAGCTACGTTTGGTTATTTCTATTTTTTCTATTTTTAGTAGTTTTACATCAATTTGTTTCAAATTTTGAAATTTTACAGGAAAGGCAACGTATATACGTTACACATTGGAGTGACGGCAATCCGAGTGATATTCAAATTTCGTGTGAAGTTATAGGTGTGGATCCAACTTATGGATTTCCAAGAATTTGCGACTCGTCCACTTCAGTCAACATTTATGAAAATGAAGTAAATTTCACAAACAGGCACACATAATTTCAATTGGGAAATATTTCAATAAATTAAATTTCCAATACATATGCTTATATAAACATAAATTTAAGTTTTTTCTCCCAAAATTTTTAAATAAAATTTCAAATGCACAACTTTTGAAATGACTGAAATATTTGTACCACACATTTCATTGTGATAATAATAAATGTTTCTAAGAAAAACAAAACGAATTAGTTAGAACGAGGAAGCTATAACTAAATTAATTTCTATTCAAAATTAAATGCTTCAAAATTTTGAGGAAATATCGAAAACGTTAGTGACAAATATTGAAAATGATGTTTTTTTTTTTGAAATTAATGAATCGTTAGAATTAAGAAGAACTGTTTCAGCTACGATTATATTCTTTTTGTTATTTTTCCCTATTGAAAAGCATTATTTTGAAACCAAGAAATTAATGTCAAATTTTTCAAAAAAAGGATAGAAATTGATTTACAATAAAATTTTCACTGCTAAATTAGAGAGTGACATTAAAATTTTTTTTGGAAAATCTTATGGTAATAGAAATCATTTTTAAGTCATTTTTAATTTCACTAAGAAAGCTAATCAGCAGTGCCATTAATTTATTTTAAAATATTTTTATTCCTCTCATATATAAGTATAATCTAAAATTATGATCATGCTAAAATAGCGTCATTTTGTCTTCTTATTTGCATGAGATGAAATTTCATTCATAATTGAAATTTATAAAATCATAAAAATATTACTTTTCTCTAATCATAGGAGAAGAAAAGATTGCAAGAAAGATCTGACATAATATCATCAGACATTGATGGCAAAATTTTCATCAAATTAACTGCTCGATGTTTCAATAGTTCAATAATTATTGAAAAACATGAAGAACGTTGTCCCTGGTGCATTGAATATAGTGATGATACTGTGATCAATCAACAGGTAATTAATTAATTACTTTTTCATTTTTGTTACATTTGAGAGTATTTACGCCATCCTAAATTTGCATATTTGTTATATATAGAATAATATCATCATTTTATTTATCCACTTCGTTATCAACAATGTTTCTTTGTATTTGAAATGCTTAATGTGTTAAAAATTAATAGATGTAAAAAATGATTCAACTGAAATTCCCTTGATGATTTCAATTCTTTATTTATTTCATTCTTATTTTATAGTTAGTTAATTTTTTTTTTACATATTTTTCTTACAAATTTTCCAATTTTCAATCTTTTAGTGAAACAACTAAAAACACATAATTCATCAAAATAAGAGATAATTATTTATTTAAGAATATTTTAGTCATCTTTCATTTTTTTTTGTAATTATTCAGATATATGTTTTTTCTTGCTTCTTGTACGCTAAAGATACGAGCAATGATGAAAATGAGAAAATTTTTTAGTATCCGGAAGATTTGAAATCCGGTTTTGTACAATTTGTTGGAAATGAAAGTCATCTGAATATCCTATTGACAGCATTTGCATTGACAACAGCATTGAGTAGCGCACTTTGTGCATTCACCCTTTATCTTTATATTCGACAGAAGAAAAGTCGAGATTTATCAGCCAGAAAGTGTCAACCACGCGGTGAAATAGGCGCACCGCATATAATGCATATTGAATCACCTAATGGTTTAGCTGAAAATACCAGGTCAGAGGTTATCTTAATATTTCATTAAAATATTTAAATTTCTTATATTATTAGGCACGTATATTTCTGGTTCAGGTGTTCAAGGAAATTATGATATAATTATTAAAAATCAATAAAAATATAATATTACTTTTTCCCGAATTTATTTATATTCAATACGCTCATTTTTAGGTATGACATCCCATGGGATCGTAAGTATCGTCCGTTACCGCGATGGACAAGCTCCAGAAGTAATTCCAGCGGTGCATCACCGCCGGACACGTCTTCCACATTTACCACATCATCGCAACATTCAAAACCAACGAAAGTTATCGTTGGAAGTATGTTGCATCAAATAGATTCGCCAAATTCGTCCATTTACGAAAGGCCTGAAGAAAGCAGTTTGGGATGTGTGTGATGGCGTGAATGAGCTGAAACAATGAATTTTGTTGAACCCGGTAAATAATGTACCAGTATTTGTCATCTATATTAATTAATTGTAAACATTTGAAATAGAAATTCTGAAAATGATGGTATTAATTTTGGTGCATTATCAAACTTTGTTTCAGTACCTCGCATTATTTGTGTGTGATCTCTTCCGATACCTGTGATGATCTCATTTCATGTATATATTTCTCAAATAGTTACTGAAAAATTGTCTTTTTTTTTCAGCAAAGAGAAATTACTTATGTGAGATATTAAAGTATAATAGCATAAAAATACTTCTCGTGACTTACTGTAAATATTTACCAGAGATTCGGGGTAAATAAGTCGATCGATTGTTGTATTTTAAATGTTACTCAAATGTGGAATACAAATAGCACTAAAGATTCCTGTACCTTGTAAGAATATTTATAAATCGTTAATTGCAAAGAAAAAAATCAGACAAAAGAATGCGTTTCAAAATCAAGCATTATAACACTTATTTATTGAAATAACGTACGAGATTTCGGAACACACACATATGTAAATGAATATCCATTAATGAAGCCATGAATAAATGATGTGACGGAAAAGAGAAGGAATGCGCAATGATTACGTAACAAATGTGCTTTTACGGCTTGACCCAAAGAAAAGGACATCTGTTAATGGTCTTAATATGATGTAATGAATTTTGTTATCTGTTACGGTTATCCTTTTTGTAATGGAAAAAAGAAAGGAAAACAGCATGATCGAAACAGAATAGTCGATTCATTTTTTATAAAAAATAAAATTTCAATGGCGAATAAATAGCATTATTTAAGTAATTATATTTATAAATTAGTATTCGAGTATTTTTTGTGCAAAAAGCAAGCATTAATTAATTTAATGATTTTGCAAAGATAAAATGATATGCTAAGTGAATTTTGTCTAATTAGATGAAAATAAAAAATTACCCAAAAATAGCCAAATTTTTAGGCTAAAATGAAAATTACACAATACACTCGCGCATGGATGTGCACTAAAAATGAATCGATTAATTATTTCCATCTTTATTAATAGAAATGAAATGATTGAAAATCAATTAGCAACTTATGGTAGAATGACAGAAAAAGTTTGGGCGACATATTTCAAAAGTAAAAATAATTAAGCAATAAATTATTATTGACATTAGTTATTATTGATATCAAGAATGAAAAACTTTCAAATTGTTAAAGAAAATTAAAAAATTGGAATTTCCAAATACCATAGAATACACCAGTTCGATCATAAATACAGTTTAACAAAATTTGTCGACGGAAAATGATTGAGCTTTTATATTTAAAATAGCAATTCTATAAAAAATGTTATGAATTTATTTTTGAGAAATATTTCTTACAACAATATCATTACTTTTATTTCATTAATGATTCGCACTATTTGAGTGGTGGTAGTAAGTGCTTCTACTGGACAGTAATCGAGTCTGAACGAATTCTGAATTCATGCTAATTTGTTAGATGTTAAGTGAAAGTTAGATTGCCCCATAAACTGGAACTGAAAATGATCGGGATAGAAATTTAGCAAACGAGAGAGAAAAAATTCATCCATTTGGCAGTTAGATTAAAATTTTAAATATTTAAGATGAATTAACAATAAAAAAAACTTTCTTCATTGTAATGATACCTTTCAATGTTTGAGAAGAATATCGTTATTATTGAATGATTAAATTTCTCCTCTCAGTGATTTTTTTAAAATTTGATTTAATTATCCAACAGCGCTTTTATTAGTGATTAATCGAACAGATTCTATGTGGACATCAAACTGATTATTGAAATTTGTTGATTTCGATGAAGCTTTGATTGAATTATCATAATGAATGAAATAATATTTGGCTTTTCTCTTGTTTACTTACGAAATTAGTTGCTGAATATTTAATTACTCAAAAAACTACTCAATGCCAAATATTCTAATTTCAGTTCTGATTTTGAGTTCCGAAAACGCATTTTGAAAGTGCAGATGTAGGAAATGGCAGTGAGCACGGTCAAATGATTGTTGAAATGTGTATCCGATAATTCAATGATATCTTTAGCGATTCAAAAATACATCAGACGTTGTTTGTGGTGCATTAAAATTGAAACAAATCACGCCTTCTACTATTAAGTTAATTAATTATTCTCTCTCGCAAAGTTTAATTGCAATTTTTTTTTGTAAAATATTGAAATTTTGACTTTGATGTGATTTTTGCAATTTCATTTCACAAATGTTTTTCGGTCTCGCAGCAGTCAAATATCACAGCATGGCCTTTTTTGCCTGTATTTCTATATGAGTGTTATCATTGCTTTTGCTTTGACATTGATACTTCCTACTTTTGTAATGACTGTAAAAAATTTTGAAAAACAAAAGAATCGGCGAAATTACAATGGCATTAATCATTCGATTATTGAGTTAGAATATATTTCAATTTAAGGGTATTTAATTTAGAGCTCCAATTCAATATAGAATTAAATTTGGATAATTCCATACATTTGTTACAGCTTCAGCTCAACAGAGTTTTAAAGTTTGCATTTGACTCAATGTTTTTTTTTTTCATCGAAAATAGTCACGTAGTTTTCCGTACGATAAATTAGAATAGCAATTTCATACATCATCCGAAAAACGAAACAGTTCCTAAAAATGAAATCAATAATGTTAAATGTATATGAGAGTTACTGCTAAATTTGAGCTAGATGAAATGGATTATTTATCACTGATACCAATGATATATCATCAGAGTGGTATGTAAACTGGAAATGTTGTATTTTCATTGTCGACAACTAGTTGGTAATGAAATTATTCCACATATTAGCAATTTATTCGGTCTTGGAAAAAGAATTTTTTATTGCAATTGAATTTTGCCGACAAATTTGATTTAACTGTTATGTTCTGTAAATTATTTTATTGTGACTTCTGTTTATCATTTTTTTTTGATAAAAATTTTTAAACATAAATTTTTATATCATTGTTTTGTTTCCTGAATATGTCCAAAACTGTTTATAAAATTCAATTTGTTATCATATTGCCTCTATTAAATATAATTTGTAATTAATTGTATTTTTTTCTTATGTCGATCATAAAATTTAATATCTCAATATCAAAGATGCATTTATGCATAATTCATATTTATATTTCATTCATGTCAGATGAATTCATTTTTTTTTGCTTTCCAAAATTTACTACAATAACTATTTGATCGCTTTTTAATCGTTGTGTGTGTTTTAAATTTATATTTTCTCTTATTAAATAAAAATGATATTAAAAAATACTGTGTGATATCATTTTCAGTACAGAAATGATTGTAAAAAAAAGAGAAATAAAAATAGAAAAATAGATCAAAGGATGTGATATACGAAAAAAAGATTGCGCTGGCACCTCATTTCAACCAGATGTTTTGGTTTTTTAAAGAGTTGATTGATCGATGATAAGTGCAATCCATTTTTTTCATTTATTTATTTTTTTACCTCTATTATTTAATTATATTTATGAACATATAAATCATTGGTCGAATAGCTCTGCATTAAATATTAAAATATACATAAGGGTTGCTCACATTAATCTGATCTAATGAATTTTAATGTTAAATTTTTTTTTGAGGATTTTAAAATGCGAGCTATGTGATTGCAATCATTTTTTCGGCGAATTGGCACAACGAGAAAACTATTCCGTTCTAATATCACTGCTTTAATGTTACCAAAAAAATTGAAAGTAGAGAAAAAAAACACTGCCGAGAAGTGGTTTTTTTTGAAATTTTCAAGAAAATCTTCTACATCCCTCGAGAAGCAAAATGTTTAATTCAAATGGTGAATAGTGATATTTATTTTGCTACGTCAATTTTGGATCAATTAAGTTTTCCATTTTGATACGCATTTTTCTTTCTATTTTTTACAAAAGTTTATTTTCAATTGATTGAAATTTTTGTTCAACTTCATTTGAAGAATTTGATTATGATAACGTGTAATTTAATATTCCTTCACAAACAATATTATATTAATGATATTATTAAAATTTGCATATTTGATATTTGTCCCCTGCATAGCTTTTACATTTGAAAAAATGAGAAGAAATTTTGTCATTTCCAAAATTAAATAATATATGATTAATATGCTAGCATACTAATTATGCGTTATTTTTCGATTGAATGAATTTTTAGTTTCATGTTTTTCAAACTGCAAATCAAATGGAGCGCATAATGAAATACAGCGCATTATTAGGGAGATTATATCACATTCCAATATATTATCAAAAAGTTTTTCATTTTCTATTTTATATGTACATTTGATGATAAAAGTAGAAAGTGGAGTGAAAGTGTTGAGGAGGTTAAAGTTGGAAACTGTCGGAATGAAATTGATGTTAGGATGATGTGATCTTCATTTAGCCAAAATTGTAATTCTGATTCAGCTAAAATTGACAGAGGGAGAGAGAGAGATAGAGAGAGAGAGATAGAGAGAGAGAGAGATAGAGAGAGAGAGAGAGAGAGAGAGAGAGAGAGAGAGAGAGAGAGAGAGAGAGAGAGAGAGAGGGAGATTAAGTGATAATGAGTGCAATATCATTCTAATTCATTTTTTATTTCATTCTTTATTATTCATTTTTAAGAATTCTCTTTTGATTTTTTTTTTTTGTACAAATGTTTCATTGCTTTTCCAATTTCATTGTTGATATTTCATTGATTTTAGCACGATTTCAAGCTAAATTAATTATTCATTCATTAATTTAGCTTCTCAACACATCTTTGCAATTGCAAATACATTTGATGAAAATTTTTTTCTAATGTTAGTATTGCAAAAAAAAAAAGTTAAACAGTCATGAAGTCCAATTTTTGAATAGCTGCTATTTTGTTAGCTTTAAAAAGTTGCGGTAAAGTTTTATTTCACTTATTGTTTTCAACACTCTACACTATCACTTATTACTTTCAGTGTATCAACAAAGTAATGCTTACGTCAGTAGCGGCAGGTTTTCTGTTTTGTTAGAAGCAATGTTTGCTTGAAGAGAGATAAATGGGATGGAGAAAAAAAAACTTGCCTCTTAGTTGATATACATTTTTTTTGCTTTTCTTTTCAAAAAAAAATTTAACCAATGAGAAAGCGCAACTGTTTTGACCTATTGATGAAGAGAAAGAGGGAGCAGAAGAAAATGATATACTATTTAGTGGTGATATTCAAACTAAATTCAGTTATTCTCTCAAAAAGTATATCCACTGGGAGAGACAATAGTGCAGATGAGTAAAGATAGCTTAAACTTGTTGTATTTAATTTTAACTGAACGGATGATGATGACAAATGCGCTGTTGTGATAGCGAAGAAGAAGGAGAAAAGAAAGGGAAAGAGAAAGAGAAAGAAGCTTATTGAACTTAGCAGTAGATAAAAGAGTGATACTTCTGAATATACTACACTTTTCAATATTTCTACACCAATGGGTAATGATATTTTCGAGAGAATAGAGAGAGAGAGAGAGAGAGAGGGAGAGGGAGAGGGAGAGAGAGAAAGAGAGGAGAGAGATGATGTCGTTTGGAAGATTGATGTTGTTACTGGCTGGGCGGTCGGCGTAGCGGCGAAAGTATCTGTAGAGTTAGGATGGAGTGGGGAAGCATTGGTAGTAGTAGTCTTGTCAGCAGTGAAAGTAGTCGTTGGCATATATCGGTCCATTCAGTCTAATCTCTCCCTTTCTCCCTCTCTCCCTCTCTCCCTCTCTCCCCCTCTCTCGGTCTCTGTAGCTCTCTTTGTTTTACATTTTTATACCTCAATTTTTGCAGAAGCATTTTTTTTACTGATCATCTGATCCGAAATCAGAATCAGAATCAACGGTGGTAAAGAGCAAGAAGGATGAGCAATATTGTACGACAAAGTAAATTTCGGCATGTCTTCTGTAAACCTGTAAAGCATGAACAATGCATGTCCGATATACGCATCACCGAAATTACATGGGATTCATTGTTCTGCGCTTGTAACTCAAAATTTATTGCAATAATCTGCAAAGGAGCCGGTGGACCATTTTTGGTCATACCTATCAATAAGGTCATTCATTCATTTAATTAATCATTCGTTTATTTCTTCAACAATATATTATCATCTTTTTCATGCTTGTATTGATGGAAGAAACTATTATGCTTACAGATGAATGATTGATCGATGGCTGTCATAATGTGTTGAGTGAGTGAGTGTCCATTGAGTGTGATGACCAGCGTTGAGTGACCAGTGGATAGGCATATATGATTGCTATCGATAAATTGGTATGAGTGAGCTCCTCCATGTGGACAATGTCCACGGAAGGGAGCAATGAAGATCATTAAATAGTGTACTGCATTGTTGCAAGACATCAATGAAATATTGAAATAGTAGAAATGATGGCTTTTTTAAATTTTTTTAAGTGTATAATGAAAGTTTGCAAGATGAGTATGAGTGCTGTAATTGGGTCAATGTACTGTAAAGTTCAGGATAGCTTCTATAACGGGGTCAATGCATTGTAAAGTTTAGGTAAGCTTCTCTATAACGAGGTCAATATTGATGCAATGCAGAATGGCATTTCAGCGTCAGAACAGTTGTGAATAAGTTGTGAATTGTCAACTCATCTCTCTTCTAATTATGCCATAATTATATTTGATAAACATCACGCTCATTTTGATATCACATCGATAATTAATATTTTCGAATTAATAACTAATAAATGTGCAAGACAAAGAGAGAGAAAGCGAAAAGAGAGATGATATGACATGATAAGTGAAGTATGGAAGTGCAAAAATAATGCCTCTTTTATGATAAGTTTCAAAAGCTGTCATTTCATTGTTCTAAATATCGTTCAATATTTTTTCTGCTTAATATTTTAAGTTTATTTATCTCTTTGAGTCGATAAAATGAGAATTATTTGTGTACAATACTCTTAAGTGTACAGTAAGCGCAATGAACTATCATAGTTGATAGTGAGATTAAGTTTTAAAAAGTAATTAATCTTTTTTTTCGGAATAAAATTTGAAATTGTAAGAAAAAAAAATCATTTGAATGAGTTAGATAATTTCTTAATCAATAAACTTATTCTTTGTACTGAGAATTTAATTTATATTTACAAGACAGTCCTGTTGTTTTTTTTGGAGATATAAGAAAGTGATAAGAGATGCGGTTTCAATTCTATTTCATATTATGCCGTATCATTTGCCATTTTGTTGTAACTTCAGCGTACTGTCCTATAAATTATGATTTATTAGTTGTATCATTCATTCACATACTACTTTCCACTAATCAAATCATTTTTGTTCTCATCAAATTCTCTCGTAAAATGGGGAGGGAAATCATTTGATTCGTCGATTATGAATTCATCTTAACACACTTTTATAAATATTACACAAATTTGCAAAAGATAAGTGACAATTAGGCAATGTTACTAATGTTTCAATTTTGCCTATCATATTTGCTATTTCGAGGAAATTTCTAATCTTTGCACTTTTGAACTTAATAAAAGCTGCCTCAAAAGTAAGAAAAAAAGAATGAAATTTGTTATTTTCAATTCTCTCTTCTCAATCTATCCAATGAAACATCATTTCAGAGGTATAAAATTCATTAAATGATTCTTTTTATATTGTACGATTCAAAAAATGTATTTGAAATGAAAAATTAGAAAATATTTTTATGAAAGTAGGAAAGATTGCAAATCTACCTAAGTGGGATCAATTAAATTTTATTATAATTATTTGTCATGTGCCTTTTGTTATTACACAATGCATTCAATTAACACAAAGAGCACTTCTATTGCGCATTTATCATCGCTTATTTATCGTATTTTTAATTTTGCCCAATTTTCCTCTCTTTCTCTTCCTTTCTCTCTCTTTTTTCACTGCATAAAGTGGTTACGAAATCTCCTGTTGATTTACCATCAATTTTTAGCCATCGATTACATTTCAATTAAGGTCGAAAAAGAATTATTTTCAACAATAGTATAAGAAATTTTTGCAGAAAATTGGTATAGTGTAAAGAGTTGCAATGCATTCAGTAGAATATTTATAATTAAAAAAGTGAAGCTAATTAATGCTAATAATGAATGATTTAGTTCATTTAAAAATTGCTCAGTTTAATTGTTTCACCTAAGAAATGTTAAAAGCTTTATATCGAAATTTAAATTGTTTAATTGGTTTCAGTTTATTTTAAAGTTTATTTCTGCAAACTATAATATTTCTCTCCTCAAAAGAATACCAAATTTGAAATGGACTTTTATGAGTTGATTGACTGGAATTTGTAGACTTTGATTATAGAAAAATTAGTTATATATACATAACAGACGTAATAGACATAGCATGCTTTAGTTACATCTGATGATGCTAATGAAATATTGTAAATTTCCTTTTTAAAAAAAATTTTGTTTTTAAAATGATGGTAGTAGCATTATTACTTTTAAAATGGTACTATTACAGGTTGGGCGTATTGAAAAAGACTATCCTTTCGTGGATGCTCATCGTGCTCCATGTCTTGAAGTAGCTTGGAGTCCTTTTAATGATAATGTTATTGCCAGCTGTTCAGAGGATACTACTTGCAAGGTATCGTTACAGTCTTTTATTTTTAGCCAATATATGCTTATTGTTTTTAGTAAACATTGATTATTTGCTTTTGTTTTATATACATATAGCTATAATCTTTGTTAATGTGTAATTAAGGTATGGTTAATTCCGCAAAATGGTTTAATTCGTACGATTAATCAACCGGTGGTTGAGCTATGCGGTCATCAGAAACGCGTGAATACTTTAGCATGGCATCCAACAGCTAGCAATATTCTGCTTACAGCTGGTATATTTTTTGATAAGTAATGAACTGGGATTGTTTGCAAGTTTTTTAATATTGAAATAGGATGGTTTCTAATATTTAAAATTTTTTAATTAATTCTTTGCTTGAATTGATAGTTATTAGTTGGCAGTCAATGAAGAGTAATAGTTTTTTTTTAACTCAAGTTAATATTAGGATGTAAGAGTAATTATTAAAAAGGGCCGATTATTACCTTTTTTTTAGTTTCTTAGTTTCAATATTTCTAATAATGTTAGGGAAAATCTTAATATCTTATTGTAGCATTAATTATACTTAAGTATATTTATTCAGATATTTTCAGGTGGCGAAAATAAATTATTAATTTGGAATGTTGGTACGGGTGATGCTTTACTGGAAATTAGTGGTCATCCGGATATGATATGGTCTGTATCTTTCAACTATGATGGTTTGTTTTTCCCACCAATTAATTCCCAAACATTTTCTTGGGATTACTTTCTGCAATTCTTCACTACTCATTATATGGTAATGAATCTTAAAAGTTTTCTATTGAAATTTACACTGGATTAAGTACAGAAAAGTTCTAGAATTATTATCAAAAAATGAAATGTGTGAATTTAAGACAAATTTTTTCCTTTCCTGCTTTATATATAAAATCCAGTTTGCACACTGCAATTTGCTACTTTTTAGGAAGTCGCTTCGTGACAACATCTAAAGATAGAAAAATACGGGTAATCGACTCTCACACGGGTGAGGTGCTTCATCAGGGTAATGGACATGAAGGAGTGAAACCACAACGCGCAATTTTTCTTAAAGATGGCAGAATCCTTACTACTGGCTTCACGAAACGTTCTGAAAGGCTTTACGCACTTCGAACACAAGTCTGTTTTTTTTTTTTTTTTACTGAACAGGGTTATTCTTTCTTCTCTCAAGTTAATACAAATTCTTTTTCTAAAATTTTGATTTTATTAAGCGTTTTCTACAGTTTGTAATCTTAGATTTCTTTTGAAATCGTCATTTTCATCAATCAGAAATATGCAGGAGAATTTGGATGAACCATTAATACAAGAGGAGCTTGATACAAGTAATGGTGTTTTGTTCCCATTGTATGATGAGGACAGTGGTCTTGTTTATCTAGCAGGCAAGGTAAGTCTTGTCATGATATCACTTAACAATAAATGTGAACTATCATTTGATAAAAACATAAAGGCGTATTCCAAGGTACATGAGCTCATAGTTTATCTCAATATGACATTTACTACATATTGAGCATTAAA